GTTGGCTCATACGACATGAGCCCATATCCAAGCACGAGACTGTTCCATGGCATGTGCACCCACAGTCGCATGGGGAAGCCCCTCTTCTATAGTATTATCCGACTTAGAAGAGCTAGTGCACATGTGCTTTGATAGGACCCCTGTATTTGAGTAGGAATATGTCCCACAGGGATGCACCAGTAAACCATTGAACCCCCGGTGACAAGAAGCTCTGGCTCAGTGACTTTGATGTGACCAATTATATGTCATTGCCATAGACTGTAGAGTATAAGTCCGTTGGGTCGACTTGAGACACCGGTGGAACGTCATTCGGCTTACCCAATGGAAGACTCCAACTAGTGTTATAAGTTCAGAGATCTCATTTATCTTTCGTCCAAACTAATCATAAATTGATAAGAAAAGATTTTGTTGATGAGAAAATATGTAATAATGTTGAAAAACGATTTGGAGAAATTTTGGGATTTTTGGAGAATTTTTCAAAACACTTAAAAATTGTGTTATTGAAATTGTTTTGCCAAAATGACAATCGAGGACAAGCCATGGGGAAGCCACGTGGGTCCCAAGGGGCCATTGGGATGCCACGTGGCACCCCCACACCGCCTTGGGTGCTAACATCATGATGACATCATGTCATGCATGGGGGGCATTGATGTCTTTTGTTATTTAGGTATATTATGTTTATTTAAAACATGATGTTTTATAATGTTGTGATTTAAGTGAGTTATTTTGTCACATGGTGTTTTGTTTACACATGTGGTTTATTTGACCTGTGAAGTTATGGAATTTGAGAATTAATTATCCACGTATGATTATGTGGCATGTTGGTATATCTTATGTGACACCACCTTATTGGCTTGACCTATATGAAACTTTAGAGTTGTTGAAATCCTATTGGTGGTGCCATAAAATATTTTATTCACATGTATGGATGCATGTCCTTTTCTTTTATTGACTCTCACAAATTATTAAAAAACCATGGGAATAAGTGTAAACATGAATTTGGACTTAATGGAAAACAATACATGGAGCTAAGGGCTTTAAAGTAAAATGACTATAAACCTAGGTTTTAAGGAGTGAAGGATATCAAAAACTCATCCATTGATCTTGGTGATAAGATATGTATGAGTGGCTTGGATAAAAGCCTCTCATGTACCATTGATCTAAGGCATCAAGGATCAAGATCAAATCCTCCTTTATGATCTAACTATAAAAGTAAATTATGAAATCAATTATAACCCTAACTTGTGTACTCACTCCAAATAGAGAGAGAGCCCCCTTGATAGAAAGGTGGCCATCCTTGAGACTATCTTCTTCCTTGAGCTTTCATTTGAAACCCTACTATGGAATAAATCCCTCATTTGTGTGATCAAACCCATACTATTGCTTCACTAAGCTATTGATTTTTCTTCTTATATTTTAATTCCTATCTCATTTCCATTATTAAAGCTTGCTATAATTTTTAATTTACGGTAACTTTTTTCATTTTTGGTCATAACAACTTGATAGTTGATGAGTCCCAAAGCAAAAGTATAGTCCATACACATGGTATGTATAGACTAGCTTGCTTACTACATGACTTGAGTAGTTTTACTTTGATTTTCTTGATCTTATTTTTCTGAAATTTTTACTGAGAATATACAGCTGAGGTGTATATCATTATATTTGAGAATATAAAAAATAGCCCCTTGAGTTCCTGTTTGAATGTTGCAAAGTTCGTGTGGTCCCTTATGGACCACATGGTGTAGTTTCATCATAACTTCCTTACTTTGTGTAGTGTCTCTGTCAAACTTTGAACGGCTATTTTGATACATGTCTCTATCATGATTTGATCCCTATTAAGTGAATAAAAGCGATCATTCGCTTCCCATTGGATTAATCTCATTGAGTTATTATTATCACCCGTGCCATAGATAATGAGATAAAATTAACTTCTCAAAAGGCCATTTCGTAGCCCAAGCACAAGGGGTTCGAACCATAGCTTCCCCCATGTATTGTTTGCATGTTAATTTGATGTATTTACAATTATAAAGTGATTCATGATTGGTTAAATTGAGTATGTTATATGAATATTGAGATTGTTATTTAATCTTGCGGTATAAGCTTTAATGTTATACTTTATTACTTATGTGAATTGAAATTTCATTAGATTATTATGAGCAAGTATATGATGTATGTGAGACATTGTGATATACGATGAGGATGAAGAATGAAGATAGAATTATGATATAATTTTGATATAATGAGGAATCGCAAGTACAAGTCATGTAATATGTTTTAGAGACGTACATTGTAAGTATTTGGATATTGTATTGAGTTTAGTTGTATTTTTATTAAGGGATTTGTAAGGGGTCTTATTAGGATTGACTTTTTATTATGCAAATGTGTATAAACCATGTTTGTAAGCTGGAATATATGTATTATGATTTTGTATTGAGATATTCATGCATTTAAACCATTAAGTTTTAATAAGTTTTAATACAATGAAATTTTTTTAAAAGATTGCATTTCTAGCCCATTGGTCTTATACCAAGAACAGAGACAAGGTACGCGTTGTTTCATATTCCGTACTTTTGTTGCTTCTAAGGCTTTCTTATGTAATTTTCAGTTCCACATGAGAAATGTAATTTTCCTTTAATGGCATGTAAGTGAAATGTCTTGGCTATTTCATTGAGTCATAGCCAATCAAAACTCATGTGAGTCTAAGGCATTATCAACGCCCTACAGTCCAAGCTGGATCAAACTCCCACTGGAGTCAATAATTTATTATATATTTTTAGTACATGCTCTCATAAGGCCTATAAATGGCCACAAAAATCCAACATGAAATCAAAGGATCATACTCCCCAGTATTATAAACCTAGCTCTCATCTAATTGAGTATCTCGATCCCTAATACACATGGATTGTGTTCCTTAAGTTCAAGGTTGTATGGAAATCGATTCCCAAAATAGAGATCTCGAGTAGCCTTGATCTGTCGATCTCGCCCCTAATCATGAAATTACTCCCGATCCTGTCCATCCCCAAGAACTATGGCTATAATATTATTTTAATAAATTTTGTTTTAATCACTTGGAGATGGCTTCCATTCCATCTTCCTTTGTGATACTGATTCCTCAACCACATAATGTATGGTCCCAATTCATACTATGGCCTAGAAATTTTCAATAACAACAGTATACTCCACACCATTCATCCATCTCGCTATCTACCCATGCCATCACCAATAAAAGCCCTAAACCCTAGCAATTCATGCATGCCACCCTTCTTCCATCTTCTCCAAAACCACAGCCCTATATGCAATAAGCTGTAACCAAACCATACTCATCCCCTCCTACAACCCTAGTTTTCGCTAAAACTTATCCACAACAAATCCATCCCATCTTAACCACAAGTTCCATCATACCCATGCATAACCCCAACTCTAACCCTCATTTTTCCCAAGCCCTCATCACTGAAACTACAACTCACTCATGTGGAGCTATCCAAACAGTCCCATATCAGTTTTGATGAAGACACTATCGACACAAGTCCATCAGCCCATGTTAAACATTTTCTGTAACCTTTGAACCATAACCTTCATTTCATAAACTCTAGTCACTGAAACCTGAAGCCAACTTGTAAGGTGTCACTCATGGTCCTCCATCACTATGAAGCATTAGATATAATGCCTAAGCAAGTAGTAGGTGCCTAGGTCAATCTAGGCAATTCCGCTCCATAAAGATCAAATCTGGAGAGAAGAATAGATCACATACATATCAAAATAAAAGATTCATCGGTTGTATATAACCATACAAATATTTATTAGAAATCCACCAAAAGGAGCCAATAAATGATTTTTGCACAGCAAAGTAATTCCCAAACCAGGCATTACATTTAATTTCTCTTGCTTAGACAGCTCCCAAATCATGTTTCAGGCGATAAAAAAGCATAGTCAACGGTTACAGGTTCTATTTATCATAAGCTTCAATCGTACTACAAGATGCAGCATATGACAAAAAGAAATGTTTTAAGACACATAGTAACCAAGGTGAAATAAGAGGTTCCGAACTCATATTTTAAACTCAGTGTCATTTGGCATCTTCAGGCCCCATGGACGCCAAACTGCTTAGGGCCATCTCGCAAGTTAGACTATTATGCATAAGCATTTATGGTTACAAATTGAATGCTTTAGCTTCGGCAATAACTTATTCTAGCTTTATCAGCCAATCTGTTAAGGGGATGCCCCAATAACTGCAAGAATTTCTAGATAGTTTTGGTTTAATATAACTTGTGAACCGACATAAAAGTTTAAAATCAGGTACGAAAGGAAAGTAAAAAGAGGCCTGAAGCAAAGAATCTAAACAACAAATTATGTCAAGTCCATTTAGGACAACGATCAGTATGTTAAATCTCCTAAAAAGTCTGTCGTAACATATTGTTTCAGAAAGCTACAATGATCAAGTTGATCAAATTAGAGATACATTTCATATATGATCAAAGTTAAAGTACTTTGTAGGGTAATATTTTGCTGAACAATGTACATTGAAGAGAACTTGCTCTCATGACAATCAAAGATACCTTGTTCTGATAATACAGAAAAATCAAATAATATCTCCAAGCATAGCTTAGACAACATTTCTATACTTTTTCTGAGCTGTCATAACTTAACAAAGTTAATATGCTGTTCCATAAAAATGAATAAATGGATTTGCTTCATTTCATGCACTTTCTTTGCTATATCTGCATTGCATAGACCACGTAAATTAATTCAAGCAATTTGATTGAGATGATATTTCAAAATATGCCTTTTTGCCCATGCTTCTCAAGACGAGCCAGCCAGTACGGCCACAATATTGTAACTATGTTACTCATATGTATATTTTCAATAAAATATGTTGATGCACGCTAATGCTTCCCAAAGAAAACATAACCATAAATATCATCTTGAAAAGGATACAAGAGCATATTCTCACAAACCTAATCAAGCACTGATATATGAGCACGAAGAGGCCCATTACATACCTGAAAACGAGGATCGAGAACAAAATCACCATTCCCTGTTGGTAGCATCCTAGGCCTGACTATCCTGTCAGAGGTTTTATTGCTGTACTTTTGACTAAGAACAGTAGTTCTGTTTCACAAAATTGTTGAATTAGCCGTTACAGTTATTGAGTTGCAACAAACAGTCAATACACCATAATGTCTCTCTGTAAAAGAAATACGCCATAGTACCTTCACTTGCTCAAAATGAATGCTTTTGAGCTTGGAAGTATTTCTTCTTTGTAAAAGAAACTCATATTTGTAGTTATCTTTCAACAATAATGGACACGTAACATAAAAAGTAGAGATACTGGCCATGAAATTCAGTAACAAAGAAACAAGGGGTTTTCATTGACGGCGAGGATAAATATGCCACCGAGTATAATGAATGGGATAATATTATCTTATATTATGAAAGCATGAGGATTTGAAGATGGGGAAATCGGAGACTATAACAGATAATCTACCAAGAAGTTAAGAAAAAAAAAAAACCTAGATAAGATGTTCAATGAAATGATCATTGAACATATACTTAAGATTCTAACATTCCATCCTACGTCATATACTGCACATAATTAGTTATGCCACACAAATATGCTAATGACAAATTTTGACAGAGACATCAGAAAGGTAATTTTAATTAGTTCTACAGGTCAAACAGACCATTCTAAACTTCATCCTAACCATAGCAAAAGGCAGCATTAATCTGCACTTTCACATCTTTGGCATGTGCAAGCCTTCAGGGATCCATAACTTTTCCTGAGATAGCCATCATCTACTATACACATTATCATAATCATTTTTCTGTGCATGCTTGCTAGGTTGTTCACCTACCATCAATGAAAAAATTTCTAATGTCTTTCTATTTTCACTTCCCATTTCCAATCTGCGTTCCTGACATGGCATAATCGTAAAGCTGGATTTCACAGAGAAATGAAAATCCCAATACATGTCAAATTTGCAGCAGCAGGTACGGAGGATCATGGTCACAAGAATATGATTACAGCATACAAATGACATTAGTAGCAGTTTTCAGGGAATCACAGTCATTTATATTTTAGGTCAAGAAATACAAGAACAAGAAGACAGGTCGAGTGCTCTCAAGCATATTTTCCAAACATTTAAAAACCACAGATCTGCAAAGAATGCACAGAAGCATTTCTAAATAAGTAGCTTTCTTAATACGATGGAAACATTGTCCAACGAGGCAACAATAATTTTCTCGCTGTACATATACCATGGTTAGGATACAAGAATCAACAGATAAATCTGGAGAGCATAACAAATTCATGATGAGCTATTTTAAAATTAAACATTTTGACACAGGTCTAGTGCTTGTATTTATAGTAAATATCAATTAAGAGCTAACTCCATCCTCTGAAAATCAATTGGTGATATTGATGAACCTTCAGATATTGATACATGCAATAAGTCTTAAATTGGTAAGTTCATACTTTTTCATCACAATACAACGACCAAAACCACGATCTAGTGAAGCTTTATTCATGACAATTGCATCTTCAATGTCATAGCCACTGTAGCTCATCACAGCAACCGTTGCATTCTGCCCTGCCCCAAGCTTGTCATAGTGGATCTGAAAAAAAAAAAAAAAAGTGACTGAAGAGTCTTAGCAACTATAGAATGATGTCAGAAACCATTACATAAACATGAATTCCTAGCTTCATCACCAGCTCAATTGTTTTTGTCGACAGAAGTGGTCGCTGAGGATAAACCAAGAGGTACAGTAAGGTGTCGACCCGAGATAGCTGCAACAAATTGTACATGTAAGAAATCTCCTAGATGCCGAAGAATAAAACACAATTCACTGACCACAGTTAATGCCACAATGTTGTCACATTTAATGCCCACAAACACTATAACATTACTCAAGCAAAATGGAGACCAACAACCAGAGGTAATAAGCTGGTCCTTTATTATGGAATGCTTAAAAATGAACAAGAACTGACAAATATTTCTTTTCAGCTTCCAAGAGAAGAGTATCTGAACAACAAATAAGCAATAGTATTGAACTGCCAAACCAGTTAACAATAGGGAATTGGTTTATGACCACCCCTTTCATCCCCTTTAACCAACAAATATATAGAGCAGGAAGTAAATGGCTGGCACAGCTAGTACCCACATTACGAAAACCACTGATCCATGTGTCTAGCTACAACACAATACGGAAATTTCTTGTAGAAAAGAGTATAAACAATAAATATCTGACACTCAAGCATAATTAATCACCAAAACCTGCATAAGAAAAACGGAAAACAGGCATATGCAATAGACAGGTTAGGAAACACAGAAGTATCTATTAAAAGATAATGTTGTTTGTGTATTTGTATATTTTTGTCATTTTTAAATATTTTAGGGTATATATTTTCATTGAGGGTATTTTTAATCCCTTATAAATCCTAAATAAACATTATAAATAAAGATATTAGTGGAGCATGGGCGACTGAATCTCGTGTCACTCACTCACTTTTTTTTATAAGCGTTAACTTTTGTATTGCTTTAGAGAGAGGGAGTACAATTTGGGTTAATCCGAGAGTACCCTCTAGACGGGACTCTCGGTTAAAAAGATTAGGTCAACAGACCCTGTACAAAAAATGGGACTATAAGGTAGTCCCTTTACAAGTTTACAGTGAGTTCACAAAAATTGGCCCCTTACAAAGTTTGCAATGAGTTTACAAAAATGGGCTAAAAAAATTGCCCGTACATAGTAAGTTATTCTTCTAGGTGTTTCCTCTACAGTCCAGAGCAAAAAGGAACCGGGCCTGGTCATCGTCTTGGGTCCTAGCCCTGTCCTTTGCCAGGAGGTCGGCGAACTCGTTTGATGTCCTCGAGGAAGCCATATCCCTGCAGGTATATACAATCTCATCATAAATCGGTGCCAAATGCCATGGGGGTCTAGATCTCCCGGTTGCCCAAGTAATGATGTTTTAAGCATCACACTCCACTATTAGGTGTTGCCCCCAAGATCGATCGAAAGCTTTGCAAGCCTTTGAGAATGGCCATTGATTCGGCAAACTGGAAATCTTGGAGGCCAAGACATTCGGAGTAGGTGAAGAGGATATTACATTGGTGATCTCTAAAGACACCACCTGCTCCTACTTGTCCGGGGTTCCCCAAAGAGCAACCGTCGAAGTTTAGCTTGATGGCTCCATCAGGAGGTGGCTTCCAAATGATTGATCTTTTCTCCTTCCTTGATCGGTGAACAAGAATATTCTTCCATTGACTTAGGAAGGAATTCGTAGGAATACCCTTGAAAAAGTGTTATTTAGACGCCCAGAAGGTTACTGAGGACATAACCTTGTGAAAGAGGGTTGGGACCAGGCAGAACTGTCCTTGGAAAATTCTGGCCTTTTTTTCTGTCCAGATCAACCAAATGGTTGCTGCCACCGCTGCCTTCCATAGGATTTTACCGACCTGCGGCCATTGAGAAGAGAAATCGACAGCTATTAGGTCTCTAACAGTCGGTGGTGTTACCCAGTGGACACCAAACAGTTGTAGCAAAAGGCTCTAGAGGTTGTGGACAAGATTACAGTGAATGAAAAGGTGAGGATTAGATTCCTCCTCGCACAAACAAATGATGCATCTGTTGGGGATTGGGATCCTCTTTTTTTTGTAGGTGGTCCACTGTAAATGCCTTTTGGGAACTCGCTATCCAATTGAATGTTTGCACCTTGGGAGGTGTTATAGTTGAACGATGAGGGATTAAGTGGGAAAGTGGGAGTTTGGATGAGTTTCTTGTAAAAAGAGGCCATTGAGAAGACCCTGATGGAGCGAGGGACCATACCAGCTGATCCCTTCCTTGTATAGGGAGGAAAGAATGGTGCACTAGTGCCGACAGGGAGAGAAAGTGGTTTGTTTCCTCCTCAAAGAGGTTTCTTCTGAAAGAGAGGTTCCACACTCTTCTACCTCCCTCCAGCACCATTTTGTCCTCTATTGTGGCTTCTCTGTTCGCTGTGATAGAGTAAAGGGATGAATAGAGGTCCCTCAGTGAAGCTTGATGTATTTTTTAAACAACGAGAGTGAGAAGATGAAAGATTTTCAAGCTCCAGATGCATTGGTCCAAGGTCTAATCTCTGGCACCCAAGTATTTTCAAGAATCTTATACTTACTTATAGTACTTGAGCCCAAAGAGATTCCGTTTGAGTGGCCAGACCCCACCGCCATTTCCTTAAAAGGGCCAAGTTGTGTTTTCTTAAGAGCCTAATACCCAACCCCCCTTGTAGTTTGGGTAAGCATACTTTATTCCAAGAAATTAAATGGAATTTGTTTTTCTTGGCCTGCCCTGACCAAAGAAAGTTCCTCATAAGTCGATCAAGCGATTAGCCACTGAAGTTGGTATTTGAAAAAGTGACATAAGGTACACTAGTGCATTGGCCAGGGTTGCTTTGATTAGAGTCGCTCTTCCGGATTGAGAGAGGTATCTCCCTTTCCACCCTGCTAATCGTCTATCAACCTTGTCAATCACATTGGACCAATGTATGTTTTTAGGTTTACCGAGCTCGAGGGCTAAACCCAGATAGGTTGTAGGAAGGTCCTCGACTTTGCACTTCCAATTTGGAATGAGTTCTCTTATTTGGGCACTAGCAATTGCTATACCCATCATTTTTTATTTTTCCATATTGACCTTGAAGCCTGTGGCAAATTGGAAACATTTTAGAAAGAGCCTCAAGTTATCCACTTCTTGGGCAAATGTGACATTAAGGAATACCAGAGTGTCGTCAGCATATTGCAGATGTGACATTGTAGGCCCACAGTGAGAGATTTTGGAACCTGTGAGGAGATCACCCTAGTAAACACGGGACAAGGACCAGCTAAAGACTTTAGCTGAGATGGCAAAGAGGAAAGGGGAGCAGGGGTCCCCTTGGCATAGTCCCTTCAAGGAAGGGAAGAATACTTTTGGGATACCGTTGATGAGTATAAAAAAATGTGGATAAGAGTAGTAGCCTCTCATACACTTCCACCAACGATCTCGAAACCCCATTCTTGCCATTGTCTCATCCAAAACAGGCCAATCAATGTGGTCGTACGCTTTTTCCCAATCGATCTTAAAGATAAAGCCAGCCTTTCTTGCCAAATGCCTGGAGTGGATACACTCGTGGCAATTAGTGCACTGTCCAAGATCTGCCAATCTTTAATGAAGGCTGACTGTGAAGATGAGATAGTTGAGGGAAGGGCATGTTGTAATCTTGATGCCACTATCTTAGCCAGGATTTTATAGGAGTTGAGCAAATTGATAAGATGAAACTCCTTTAGTTCCTCAGCCCCTTTTATCTTTGAGATCAAGGCTATGAACGTGGCATTAATGGCTTTTGGAGTATTCCCCGGTGGAAAAATTTTGTGAAGAAACTTATGAAGTCAGGGCGGAAAGTTTCCCAAAAGATTTTAAAGGGAGCAATGGGAAACCCATCAGAACCTAGAGCTTTATCTTTGGCTAGATCATCTAAGGTTTCAAGACTTCCTCTTCTAGGAAGGGACGCTTCGCCATTGAGCCTATTCTTCCAACAAAGTATGGAAGCCGAGGTCAGCCATGGCAAGTCTTGGACCCCGCAGAGCAGCATAAAGGTTCTGGAAAAAAGATAGAATGGGTCCTATTAGGAATTCCTATAAGGAAACTAATACTAAAATTCTTATTAGGAATTCCTACTCAGTGATATAATAAGATTTCCAGCAATCTTTGAACGATTAAATGGGTCCAATTCACTTTTATGCGCCCAACTCATAAAGGTTTTTCTAAGCGCAAGAAGTAAGATGAAAATTTTAACTAAGGATGACACAAAAGAGTCGGAAAAAGGGTATGACGAGTGGCTTAAGGAGAACTATCATATGGTTATGGAATAGCATGGAACCCATGTGAGAGTGATGTTATGTTCATGATATTGCTTAGGAAGTGTGGGAAGCTATAAAGGAAATGTATTCCTTTGATAAAACTATTTCTCAGATTTATCAAGTTTTCGAGGATATATGTCTTTTATGGCAAGGAGATAAAAGCCTTAATTATTATTATAGCTCTCTTCAATGCATGTGGGAAGCGTTGAATATTTATCAACTTCTAACTAATGAAATGGAACTTCTTAAAAAGCAAGGACCGGAAGTTAGAGTTGCAAAGCTCCTATCTGACATTAATACTGAGTATCATGCTGTTCAGGGGCAGATCTTGTCTAGTAGTGAACTTCCCTCTCTCAATAATGCATACTCTCGCCTTCAATGGGTAACTATATCTTCTTCTTCATCGGTTACTAGCTTGGTGATGGGTCTACATTAACCTCCTCCATGGGTAAGGTGATGCTAAGGCCGTGGTCATGAAAATAAATGGTGTGGTCAGGATTCACGAGGAGGTCATGGTATAGGTCGAGGCAGCAGGAAGCGCAACCATTGTGGGCAACCAAAGCACACTACTAAAAAGTGTCGGATAAGTTTGTTAAGCCTGTTTGGGCTAACCAACTGTCCTATGTTTTTGAAGTTGATAGTGTGCGCCTAGTTGGCTCCAACAATCAAGACCATACTCTACATTCCACTAGTGACTCAATGACGCTCTCATGAGAATATTGCAATAAGTTAATCAAAAACAGCCAATAGTCATCTACTCATCCCTCCTCCACCACTACTACTTTGGCTATATAGGTACTTCTGCATTCCTCGCATTGCTGAAGGCTTTTCCTTGGGTCATTAATCTAGAAGCATCTGATCATATGTCTGGTGAGTCCTCCATGTTCTTGTTTCTCAATAAACCAAATGTCACTACTACTGTCACTCTAGCTCATGGTTCTTTTTCTAGTGTATCCTGTAAAGGCGTGGTGCGTCCTACTTCTTCACTCTCATTATCTTCTATCCTTTATGTTTTAAAGTTTCCATTCAGTTTATTGTCAATCAAACAATTAACTGAGAACACGGTTTCTATGAGTCCATGTAGAAATGAGTCACCTCTTAAAAATCTATTTTTTAGATGGATTTTTGGACTTAATTTTTATGGACATGTAATCTCTAACATGGGGATCATGACTATAAAAATAAATAAATTTGCAAATTATAAATAATAATTTTATTAAAGAAACATTTGGACCGTTAGTTTCAATTGTTTTTAGATGGACTACCTATTTGTATCCATCTTTAAGATGGATGCTTCATACCTTGGGACAACATATTGTAGAAATGCGGTCCAGCCCCCATGAAACAATTTTCCATTAGCTAATAATAAAAATATGTCATATAATAGAGGTAACTCATGCTTTCCTATTAAATATGCACATGCCTAAAATGTTTGGGGAGATGCTATTTTGACAGCTTGTTACATGATAAATCATATGCCTTCCTTTGTTTTGGAAGGAAATTCACCTTATTGCTTTTTCCCCACGGACCCTTGTTTATTGTGCCCCTAGAGTTTTTGGATGTATTTGCTTTGTTAAGGTCTTAGGTATTAAAATAGATAAATTGGATCTTTGAGCTATTAAGTGCATATTTCGACCCATAAAGGCTATCATTGTCATCATCTTGGTTTAAAAAAGAACTTTGTGTGTGCTAATGTTCTCTTTTTTAAAAATATTCCATACTTTTCTAATGATAGTAAAATGTTAGAAATAAATTTAGGACAATCCACACAAGGCATGAATTCACAACTCATTACTTTTTCTACTTCTATTTTCATTCATATTCATTTCCCTATCAATAATTCATTATCTCAAGTGTCTCCTTCTCTAGAGCCTATCTCTCCGGCAATTACTAGTGTTCCACATTGGCAACCTCTTAAAGTGCATAGGAGAAGGAATTAAAAGAAGGGCCATCGCCACCAAGTCAAGCAGCCAACCAATCTTCATCTTTGTATGCAGATCCTCATCCTGTTCCTGAACCCACTCATGAAGTTCAAAGTATTGATCTTCAAATAGCACTTTGTAAAGGTCAACGATCATGACAAAGCATCCTATTGCTCATTTTGTTACATTTGAAAATTGTCTCCCTGTTATAAGAATTTTGCTTTAGCACTTTCTTTCATTTCCATACCTAAGTCCTATCAAGAAGCTACTTTAAATGATGGATGGAAGAAAGCCATGGATGAGGGAATTGTTGCGCTTGAGTCAATGGTACGTGAGAGCTCACTGATTTACCTGCAAGAAAGAGACTGGTTGGATATCATTGGGCATATACCATCAAATACAAGCCAAATGGATCTGTAGATAGATAAAAGGCTAAACTAGTGGAAATGGGATACACATTGACATTTGCTATTTGATTAATCTGCAACAGTATGTTCATACAAAAGATTTGGGGCAACCGACGTATTTTCTTGGGATTAAAGTAGCTCAATCACAATATGGTATTAGTCTATCCCAAAGGAAACATTTAACTGATTTACTAATAGAAACGGGGATGTTAAGGGCTAAACTGATTGATACACCGATAGATCCAAGTTCCAAACTATCAGCAGATCAAAAAGACTTACTAGAATATCCTAGTAGATATAGAAGATTTGTAGGTAAACTTATCTCCCTGACAATCACTAGACTAGATATAGCCTTTGTTTTGAGTGTAATAAGTCAGTGTCAGTTTATGCATTCTCCTAGAACACCACATTGGAAGCAATAAGAAGAATTTTGAGAGGCTTGAAGGGCGCCCCAGGTCGAGGACTCACCTGCAAGAAGAATGGCCAGTTTGACATTGAAGGTTATTCTGATTCCAATTGGGTAGGATCACTTTAAATAAATCTACTACGGGCTACTGCACCTTTGTTAAAGGAAACTTGGTGACTTGGAAAAGTAAGAAACAAAATGTGGTGGCTAAACCTAATGCAGAAGCTAAGTACGGAGCTAAGGCTCATACTACACATGAGTTAACACGGCTGAAAACATTGATTTAGAAAATGGGTATTTCAATTACTAAACCAATGAAGATGTTCTTTGACCATTAGACAGCCATTCATATTGCGAGGAATTTAGTTTTTCATTAAAGAATAAAACATATTGAAGTGGATTGTCACTTCATTTGCAAGAAAGTGACCAACAAGCAAATAACAACCTCATATGTGAAGTCATCATATCAATTGGCTCATATACTTACCAAAGCACTTAGTCATAACCAAACTCACTAGATGCATTCCAAGCTAGGCATGGTGACATATGTGCTCTAGCTTAAGGGGGAGTATTAAAGAATAACTTGTTTCGTGTATTGGTGTATTTCTGTCATTTTTATATACTTTAAGATACTTATTTTTATTGAAATTATTTCTTATTCTTGTAAAAACATTATAAATAAAGATATTACTGGGGCATGACGCGATTGAATCTCATATCACTCGCTCATCTCTTCTCTTTCATATTTTCTCTCTTCTCTCTTTCTTTTCCTCTTCTTTTCCCTTTCTCTCTAGTTGACAATTTCTGCTGTTCATGGTATTGTTTATGGCACTGTTCAGGACATTGTTCACAGTATCCATAAAGTGTAAAGTTCAAAAATTCAAACACCAAATGTCAACTATTCATCATAAAATTCATCTACGTATAAATGAAGGCAAGGAAAGGGTCTGGGGTCATGGTGGTAGCACCCCGACACCCTAGTCAAAACGTTGTGGTTTCCATTCCCACTAACACCACCCCACTAACACCTTCGAAAAACATATAAATGAAAGCTCATAAGTGATATGAGGAAACAAAACCAGAATGTAAACTAAAATAGAGATGCCAATTGTATGAATAATTGTTCAGATAAATTTACATTTACCAGGGATATTCTTCTAACTACCCACGTATCTATCTCTACATTACCTTAAGGTGTATATTCTCCATGCATGTATGAACAATATGCACGTCCCTGTCTAAGTCATTAATACCTTTAGGCATATAAGATATTAATCCCTCGTAATTAATTTGGGAATTAGCCTTCTCGCATAAAAATTATGAACCCCTACACTAAATGGCAATCCTTCGATCAGCATGCCATTCATTATGCAACAGTGTTGGAGCCAGATTTCAGCAAAATCACATATTTAAGTTCAATAGTGGTAAAAGGGGTACAGTTGTAATAAATAGATCCTCATTTACAAATGTTAGAGGTTAAACGTCATATCCGCAGGTATCAATGCAGTGAATGATCATGCCACCCCCTTGATAGAATATAAGAGAATAACATAAAGAACTATACATCTGTCATTCCTACATTTACATATCGCGAGATAATTTTTGCACCATAATTACTTCATGCACTATTCCTGATGTTGAGCACCTCTATGTAACTTAGAAGGTCTTCTAGCAGAACTTGAGAAATATCAAAGGCCAGGCGGCCCCAAAATTAAGTTCCAATTGTTCACAGAGCTTAAATTGGTTCACTCCCCGATTCTTAACATATCCAATCATTGATGAAAATATCAAGACTGGAAGATTAAAATTTACCCACCAACCATTTGCTTCATACTTTATCTGTGTTCTTAATTGACTTGCTAAAATGAGAATGGCTCAAATCTACACCTGTCTTCTAACCTAATTTCATCCAGATTTACATTATTTGACATTATCACGCAGAGCATTGACGAACAATCACCTAGAACCGTCAGGATGAGGAAATGTCTCAAGGTTAAAGCCATTATTCCCCACTTTCCAAGATTAAATTCCATCAATACTCTTGGTAAAAGGAAATTTTATCAACCCAAAGCAGAAATTTCATTTATTTAATTTGTTTCCTCCTGCAAATCAACTAACAATGTTTGACTTTCCTTATTCATATATTTTCTTATTGCATGAAGGCCCATAAAATTAGGAAACAAGGATCACTGAAAATTGTTCAGTGAAAACAAAGAAAATAAACAACTGCTTGCCTTTAAGGTAGATTCACTTGCTGAATTCTCTCCTACCACAAAAACATGTAAGTGCGAACAATGAAAACGACTAAGATTTCTTTAAGTACAAACCACATTTTTGGCCATACAAACAGGACGCCTTGGTGGATAAGAAGGATTCGGGACACTTAGCCCCCAATTGCAAACAAACAACCATCTGCATTTTGCAGCTTTCCTACCAAAAAATGTATTGGACTCACAAGTCCTATGACTAGGTGTCCAACAAAAAAGAGAGAGACTAGGCAATGTTTGTCCCTGAAGATGCAGGTTGAGCCTTAGATTGACTCAGACTGTGTCAAACAAGATAACAAAATCATATGCCATTGTGACTTGATGGGTACTAACCATTCTCACGGCAACTGCAAGCAATATGATCAGTGGGTACCATACAAGCAAAACATTGTCTTATTCACATGGTACCCATTTTTATGGTAAACTGTAAATTTACGAATTGAACTGATATGGTATCGTCATTAGATGGGTGCTGACCATACTTGTGATCACAAGCAAGAAGAATAAGATACCAACAAAAAAGCAAATCCTTTTGAACAATTTCATGCATATTCAGTGTTAGTTGAAAGCAAGCATACGTTCGGAGGCATTAAAAAGCTGAGGACAGAAAATAAGATGCCAATGATTAAAAAGAAAAACCCCACCAACAAAATAATAATGCCAATGAGTAAAAAGAAAACTCCATCAACAAAATAACATAGTTACAAAAATAAAGCAGATAAATAAGAATAATGTCAAGCCAACTTGCCTGATTATAAGCGATATTGCCCATTGCTTGCTTTCCCATTGCACACTGCAAAACGCAAAAGATACTTTTTAAGGGAATCAAGGGCTTAACTTATATAAATCTACAGTTGATAAAGAGAGTCCCAATCACAATATTAAATATCAAACCCAACCTGATAAGTATTTCGAGGAGACTGGTTATGATGAGGATAAGGAATTAATCCAGCACAAACGCCTAGTATGGTGAAGGGCTCGATTTCAATATGTGTGGTATTTGGTGTTGCCTCTCCCTCATACAATGCAATCTATTTACCAAAACAATACTAATAAATGGCATTCCTTATCTCATTGACAACCAATCAAGTTCATATTGAATAGACTTTTCAGGAGACAGGAAACAAACCAGAGCATTATTTTCTTCATTAACATCAAGATACTCAATAAGTCCCTCCCGCAAGAAATCGGCGAACACCCGAAATCCATCCTAGAAAAATGTGCCTTTTATCAAAAAGCTACAAATTAAATTAATAAATTACAATCCAACAATTTATTCGCAAAAATAAGCTCAATCCACCTGTAATTCCTTCATATGATATTCCTTTATCCTAGAGATGCCCTTGTCAGCAATGACAAGTGGACGACAAACGCGACCCCCATCTGAAGCAATATAAACACAGCGCTGGCAAATAGATTCTCGCATAATTAGAAACACAGTATAACAGGTGAAAGTCAGTAAGGAAATACTACAGACATCGAAGTTCGTCAAAATAAAATAAAAGTAAGGCTTTCACAAACTTTAATCAAAGTCGCCCAACTTCAATATATACCCATTGATAAAAATTGATGCAGATCAATACATGGTTGATTCAAAATTTTAATTTATTTTTAGATATGTAGTTAGATATTTTATCTTTTATTGGGGTTAATATTTCAGGAATTACTGCATAGAAGGGTTGAGGAATTAAAGGAGGGTGAGTTTGTATGAAGGCCAAAGAGTCCGTTTTTATCATTTTAGCAAGTCAATCTTTTCAATATGTTTGTTAATTTTATCAAATAAAAAATAAAAATATCTTTTCAGTAGGAAGGTCTATCCTTTCATTAGGAGTTACATTTTGTCTTTAAGTAATATTATCTTACATAGGAAGATAGGAGCATGTATTTTTTGTTTTTTTAGAAAGATTAAGTGCAATAGGAGGGTTTAGGTTTATCGTTACAGAAGATAAGAGTTTTAGAAGGGGTAATAAAAGGGAGGGACAACTATGTAATGTGCTTGGTGGGTTTTTTTTTTTTTTAGTAGTTATGAAAATTAATTAACATAGAGAGGAGAGAGAGAGAGAGATAGAGGGAGAGAGAGAGAGACTTCTTCTCAGAGTTTTCTCTTTTCGTGATCCGCATCAAGAATCCAGAGGACACCATTCAAAAGTACCCACAAGCAAAGAGCACTTACAATGTGATATGATCAATTCATACCATCAATATGGAAATTAAAAATACCTCATATTAAGTTTAGATACCAATTTGCATTGCACATCCAAGATAATTAAAAACATTGAGTTTTTAGCATTTTCAAAAGTAAGTAAAATGTATCAACTACAGAAAGCTACATGAAACTTTTGTTAATAACAGTAAGTGAAACAGCATACCTGCTTCTCGTTGACAAAAATGCTAACAAACTCACCAACTCTGCCAGCTCGCCGCAACTTTCTCAGAGAGGTAGCGAAATTCTAAAGAAACAGAAATATGATGACAAAAAACAAAAATTATAAAAGGAATTTCATTCTTGTGTTTTAAATTTTATTTCAGTATTAACTACCTGCGGTTGTCTATGTTTGCCAAGTATTAGCCCATTACATATAACCAAGAAGCTATCTGATGAATGTAGCTCCTCTCCAGATAGCAAAGCCAAGTCTTCCACTCCCAATCTATAGCACTGCAATGCGGAAGTTGAAAAGTAGAAATCAGATTTAAAAAAAAAAAGTTGCACAATAATTGTCACCACTAACAATGATTGTAGAATCATAATAACTTAAGGCAGCAATAATCAGGGAACCTGAACTGGAAAACAAGATAACAAACATTGATAATTCCTCATGAAGCAACATACAAACCAGTACGTGGGCTTACACACTCTTGAAAGCAACATTTACGAGTTACAAATCAAACTGCACCCGAATTTGGCCTCACAAAGAGCCTGGTTGAAATGTCGAGTTTGAAGTCCATTTATAAGTCTTACAAAGTTCTTTGTAATCAAAACATGTATCTAAATAAATATTGATGTACTTATTTATTATGTGCAATTTTTATATACATACCTAGTAAATAATCATCAATATATATACTCATAGGCCTTTTCAAAGTTTACGTGCAAAAAATCCTAACAATGGTCATTGTATATATTTATTCATACTAGCAAATATGTGTATGTTATACATGGAACAGAGAGGAATGATGAAGCATCAGTTGGTTCAGTGCAAGTAGAACCAGACAATATGGATGGGAATACTGAAACCATAAATAGTCACAGCAAGAAGAAGAGAAATAATTAGAACTTCATAAGCAGGTTCATGCAAGAAGAAAACCTACTTTAAAGCACAAAGAGGTAATATATCTCATGATCATAATCAGGACCAAAATGAATCATATTTGTCCATCAAGAAGTGCCAGTGTACTGACTACATATCAAGATAGAGACTATTAGATTAGATCTCCCTTTCAAATAGTGCCGCTAGAGTCAATATGGAAGGACCACAAAAGGGAAAAGGTGATATTAATTAAAAAAATAAGACTAGAAATAGTTACCACACATGAACTGATACCCAGCCAAAATTTAGAAATTAGCAAGAGGCTGAATACAACAGAAAAGATTGAAGTGACTCCCTAATAAGTAAATAGAAGTCTCATGGAGGAAACCTTGATCCCTTGGATACTTGAATACATTTTCACAAGGAGTTACAAGCCATTCCTCCTGAAGAAGGAACAACACACATACAAAAAGGTAGACCCAAAGATAGAGAAATTAAAAGATTATGGCCCACAAAAGGTAGAGTTGGGAATATCATATTCCATATCATCTACATCATCGCATTCTTAAAAATAAAACATTTTATTAATACTATTTTCAAATAAAAGTCCTCATGGAAAATTTTATTCTAATTTGTTACTCCAACTAGTGATTAAAAAAAAAAAAATAGAAGTCCCACATCTATAATTTACACATCATCATAAAATATATAAAGAAATATATTTCACCCTATTAATAATAAGAAAAATTATTTATACCTAACTTAAGTTCCTAAAAAACAATATAAGTGTTATCAGCATTGGACCGGCCATCGAATCGGTAAGGAGTCCGATCCAGTGAATGCGGGTGCAACCATTGGCAGAACTGATTAGACTAGAATTAAGAAAATTAAAATTTAATAGCAATCATAGTTAGAAAAAATGAACTATTGTAATCATTAGCCAAACTTTGTTTAGCATAAACTGATCAAAACTGGCTAGTCCTACCTACCAAACGTAGTCAAACTCTGGTTTTGACTAAAAACTGTTGATGCAAGACAAGATGCTTCATATTTTTTAATTTTTCTTCTTAAAAGTAAGGATGTATGTTTTGAAATTTTCTAGGCTTATTTTCTTAGGGATTTTAATTTTTTTGGGGATTCTAAGATTTTTTATATTCTTTTAGGATTTTACGAGATGATTAGAAAAGCGGTTAGAATACTGACAGAATTAGTTGTTTTAATGGGGGTAAAAGTGTCTGCAAATTTTCTTTTAAGTGAAGGGACTTATGGGGTATTTATATAACTTTTTAACTTAAGTGTGGGAGCTTTGGGCTTTTTTATTAATTATAATGTAATAAAAGGACCTGGGATGTTATGGTTTCTAGCACTTTTTGTGCGTGAACAGAAAAACAGGCTATAAATAGTAACAAGAAGTCCTCTCTAGGATTTCAAGGTCACTTTGTTGTGCAAGAGCAGCCAGATCCAATCAAATCCGACTTGTTTTGAAAATTATTGAATTGTTTTGTCTCTTCTCACTATTTTCCTGCATCAAATTGGTATCAGAACCTAGGTTTTCTTTAACAACAAAGCTGGGAATCTATAGCCAAGTCTAGGGCTTGCTGATTTTAGGCTACGTTTTGCCAAATCAGGCTACAACTTGCTGGTTTCAGTTAGGTTATGTTGGTTCTCTGCCTGGGGTTTATTATTTTAATGAAATTACGGCAGGAAGAAGAGGTCGAGATTGGGGTATTCATATGGATCCACCTCGTGATGAGAGGAATCATGAGGTAGAGGATCTGAGTCAACAAGTTCAAGAACTTACAAAGCGTCTTGTAGGCATTCATTGTGGGCAAGATGAAGTTTTATCCATCCAAGATGATGTTGAGTCCAACCCTTTTCACTATTGTGCTCCGCGGGATGAGTCCAGTGAAGAAGAATATGCACGAAAATATAGCTGCCACTCAAAATCCATAGATCTAAAAGTAGATATTCCTGATTTTGAAGGAAAGTCGCAACACAATGACTTTATGGATTGGTTAAACACAGTAGAGACCGTCTTTGAGTACAAGGATGTGTCAAAGAATAGAAAGGTTAAAATTGTTGCGATTAAATTGAAGAAAAGTGCTTTAGCATGGGAACACCTGAGAGCAAGGCCAGAAAGGATGGGAAAGCCTAAAACTATGTTGTGGGAAGAGATATAGGAAAGATCTCTACCTGAAATAATTTGCAGTTGCATATCAAAAGATGCATGTGTTGCGCCAAGGATATTGTACGATGGATGAATATGCAGTCAATTGCCAGGGATGTGAATGGACTTCGCCAATAAATTCAAGATGTGGTAATTTTGCAGCAATATTGGACCCTTTATGAGGTCTATAACTTGCAAAGAGGATTGAAATTCAGCGGAAATGGCCCTCAAAAAAGCAGGGTGCGGGTGAAGGTGCAAGTGAGGCAGTAGTCTGTAGTGGTGATTGGAAGGAAAAGGCAGCATAACAAATGCCAGTTCGACATATTGCATTGCTGAAACGACGAACTAGCAAGGTGCCTTGGACCAAAAACGGGTTGTTTCGAGAGCTGGTTGCAACATCAAGTGCTACAAATGTTTGGGGACCGGGCATGTCTCATCACAATGTCCAAATCGACAAGTTCAATAACCTTTTTGAGGATTTTGATGATGACGACAGCAAGCATTCTTTTGACGGTGATCCCATCTAAAATGAGCCGATTGACGAAAAGGACCCAGATGTGGCTATAGTGATTATGGGGAGCTATTCGTGTTCCGCCGTAGCATGATTACACTCCAAGTAGTAGATGAGGCAGATTGGTTAAACTCGAAGAATTTCTCATCAATTCGCTTCCAAAATCAGCAAGTCAGTGATTGGAACTCTGAACTGGTCTTTGAATAGAGTTCAAAAAAAGAAGTTAGTGATCCAATTTTTGACAAAGAACAGCGTGAAAACAAGGAGGGTTACAATGATCAAGATGAAGATGGACTTTTGGAAGAGGAAGTAGCTGATTTTGTTAGAGAACTAGGAGGTCGGAGACGATCATCTCTAAGATGCACCCTTGGTTTGTTATGGGGTTAAATGAATGCAATTTATACAAGGTTTAACGGATGCTATGATGCAATTTCAGCTAATTAAAATGACTAAACCGGGTGTACATATTACGGTTATTCCATCAACATAAAATGACCCTTTCCACAAGGGATTCTGAAAAAGTGTGTATGGATAATATCAACGGATTGCAAAGACGCAATTTCAATGCACAACTAATGTGTTTTGATTAGTCCAATCACTCATAAGTCTGAGGACTGTGTTTTCAGTATTTGGGTTGAAGAAGGTTGCATGATGCAAAATTCATCTTAGCTTATTTCAAAACTCAAGGACGAGTTGTTCTCAAACCCAAGGAGAATGATGCAAGACAAGATGCCTGTTGTTTTTAAATTTTTCTTATTCAATATTAAGGATGTGATTTTTGAATTTTTAGGATTATTTGCTTAGGGGTTTTAAGTTTTTTACATATTCTAGGATTTTTATATTTTCTTAGGATTATAGGAGATGTTCAGAAAAATGGTTAGAATAGTTACAGAATTAGTTGCTTTACTAGGGGTAAAAGTGTCATTAAAGTATTATTTTTAAGTGAAGGGATTTATGGGGTATTTTTATGACCAGCTTTCCTCTATGGGGAATAATGTTGGGTGGTCAAAAAAACAATATACCCATAGAATGTGTGTATCGTAGATGAGGATATTGAGATTGATGAGTGGCAAGACAAGAAGGAAAAGAATTCAAAATGAATACATTCAAGAAAATTTAGGTCTGGCACCAATAGGCAGCGATAAGATGAGAGAGAGTAGGCTTAGGTGGGTTGGCCATGTGTGGCGCAGACGTAATACAACACCTATTAGGAGGTGCGAGTTAGTTCAAGTGGAAAGCTGAAAAAGGGCAAGGGGTAGGCCCAAAAGGACATGGTTGGATGTAGTGAGAAAAGATATGAGGACCTATGCCCTCACTGAGGGTATGGCTCTTAGTAGAACAAAATGGCAAACCAGCATTTGTGCAGTCGACCCCAATTAGTTGAGAAAAGGCTTTGATTATGGAACCTATCTAGGCTTTTGGGGTTACTTTTTGTGCAAAAAGCTAGATCCACTCATATTTGGCCTATTTTGATGGTTATTGAACTATTTTGTCTCTTTTCTATGTTATTAACATGTAAAACCTATGGGCCTTAATATAGATCATAAAATAAAGCCTTCATATATTGAAGAAGTACTATGCACCTAATGCCCCTATGGGAGCGTTCTCCCATGCAAAGGGAGTTGTACAAGGTCATAAAAATATCTTAATTACTTGTGTGACAAGGAAAGGACACATGTGAGCTTAGTACTTGGATAACATTGAGTTGTCCATGAAAAGACAACTTCAAA